CATTTAGTAAGCCTTAGTAACAGCACCTGATTTCTCCACTTCTTTGATTTATGGGAATTTTAATTTTTTCCAATGCTTTAAATATAGATAATGTTATTATTATTATTATTGATATGATGATGATTATAATAGTATTGAAATATTAATACCAATAGAAATAGTAAATGATTTTTAGAAATCTTTACAAAAATCAAGGAATAGGGTAAACAAATGAGGACCCATATCTGTGTAAACACATTTGATAAACAAAAAGTACAATGTATTTTGTCATGCAGGCCAGTAGGTAACATTTTGTATTTTTACAAACTATGGAGTTAACCCAGTGATGCTGGGAAAATAAGTGTTTACTTTAATTTTCTATTGTGAAATGTATCTACTCATAGATGGCTCCACAAGTGCTGAGCCATCAGGGAGTCAATTAGTAGACATCATGACCTCTCCTAATTTCCCCTATCCTTAATTTTTTTTTTTTTTTATGCTATCAATATTGATGCTATTATTTTTTTTACACATTATGGTATAATGCTATTAACAGTACTAATAGCAATATAAGACAAAAGAGAATATTCCCAAAAATTATGGTAAAGGGTAAACAGATGAGACAGGTAGTACAAGTAATTGACTATGTTGTAATTAAGCATTTGTGGAGCCATCTCTGTGTTAAAGACAGTTGATAAACTAAACTCCCAGTGGGCATGGCATGTCCACAGATGCCATCCCTTTTGGTATCGGGTTAAGTGTTTGCTCAAACTGTGGTTGAATATAGGTTAAGATGAGTTGAATTTTCAAGTCATATGATGTACTATTGCTCTTAGAAATACTTAATATTGATTTTGTAGAACTTATATGTTTAGTTGTATTTAGTTTTTCTTGCTTTTATGAAAGCTAAAGCATATATAATGTCCCTTTTTTATTAACCAGAAATGTATTTTTTGTTTATTCCATGTACGCATCACTGCAGGTCCACAAGGTGAGTTTCGCTGGGCACTTTCTAGTCAGAAAATGATGCATAGAGAAATGTTTCGAATTGTTCATGACATATATTTGTGCAATACATATTTCATCCTAGTTTTCAGATGCTTTTTTTTCTTTAGAGTTCTTAGTTTTGTGTTGTTTAAATGAATTTGGAATTCTCCTTTCATGACCAATGGCATTTAGAGGGAAATACTGAAGGTAAACAGATGACAAGGCACAGTAAACTGCATATTCCATATAGTACTTAGTAACGGTATACTCAAGCAGCTTTTTCTGGTACTCTGTAAACTCCTTCTGATAGATCATATTAGAACCACAGAATGGTATAAATTGTGTTACTACAGGAATATGTGAAAAAAACTATTTTGGAACTGATGACCAGAACATTCCATAACAATAGCTGACTAATATTTTTGTTGAGACTAAAGATAGTTGAGCGTTCAACTGCAGCTTGAAAATAGTTAAGCCTCAAGTTACATTCTCTCATAAAAGAAAGTGATACACACAGGTAACATTCAAATGACAAATGTATCCTATGGCAATTGATGCTCTACAGTCAAAGGGTTCCAACAGTTGATTCAGAATATGCTTCATTATAGTTTATGTCAGTTAAAGAAATCAATAACATCATGGGATGTTCCTGTTCACATTTTTAAAATATTTTTGTATGTTTTTTTCTGAGCAGTAATTCCCATAACCTTCACACCCCCATGTCCAACATCTGTTAGTGTTATAGCACCACAATGCTTGTTGTTAGTACCCATGCTTGTGAGTCCTGACTGTCTAGTCTGGGATTAGAATGTTATAAATCTCCCTTGGTACACATACACTAAATTTGATCTCCTGAATCAAGAAAGAGGAAAGATAAACAAGAAAAAGAAGAAATACACCACACTACACCATGCATTTACACTATAGAACAGTGGGTTTCTCAGTTGTCAACTTTATGTATTTTCTTTTCTTTTTTTTCTTTTTTTTTAGTTTGGTTTCAGTTTTGTAGGTTTGATGCTGGAAAGACCATCATTTTTATTGAACTGAAAAACTTTTATACATGATAACATGGGACTTTTTTTCCATTTGGGAAGGAAGTAGTAATGATGGTCTATGCAGATCAACAAATATAAATAACCACAACCTGTATCTCCTGTTGATATTCTTGGCTTGTGATCTCAGGTTGAGTAGGTGGTAACGATAAATATGGTGCTTATTGGAGGCTCTACATTTATTGTTAGTGCTTTGGCTTTTTGTGTCACTTCTTTATTAGTGATGGCACGTCATTTTTGGCAAGGGCATCATTTTGGAAGGGTTAGCTTGAAGTAGGTATATACATATCTTTGTAAGTGTTACACATATGCACATGCACATGCAACCGCATGCACACACCCGCATATGCACACACACACACACACACCACACACACACACACACACACACACACACACACACACACACACACACACACACACATACACACACACACACACACACACACACACACACAACACACACACACACACACACACACACACACACACCATATACACACACACATATACACACACACATATAACACACACACACATATAACACACACATATACACACACACATACACACACACATACACACACATACACACACATACACACACATATACACACATACACACACACACATACACACACACATACACACACCATATACACACACATATACACACACATATACACACACACACACACAACACACACACACACACACACACACACACCACACACACACACACACACACACCACACCACACACCACACACACACACACAACACACACACACACACACACACACACACACAACAAATTATATATACCATATTTCAATAGTTTTATATTTTTGTCATTCTTAATTGTGTGTTATTTTGGTAATGATGAATTTTCAATACAGTGTAGTGAGGAAGACACAAGGGGGATCTCGTGTCATGATTTTTCTTGATACAGGGTAGCATGGTTACTTAGACTTGATACAAGGATATTGGTAAATATTAGGGAAAGAAAAATAATAAAAGTAATATGTAATCATATTTCAGGATGTATTTTATTCATCATGTTATTGGAAACTAAATTGTTATTATATACATCTGAATATGTTTGTAAGCAACGTATGGTTATAAGAAATTTTATCCAGTAACTTATATGATATAGAGTTAGATCAGTATTCACATCAGTTAGTAACTGGAAATGTAGACTTGATGAGGTACATTCTCAGTATGATAATGCTTAATTGTTCTATAATTGACTATTTTTTTATTTTTACTATTAGGAATTTGCTCTCTAACCATTTTTCACTGCCGTGCCATCACTACCAAAACCCTGAATAGATGTTTTTCCATTTCATTCTCCCTTTTCGTAACATTGATCTGTAAGTGTCATGACATACAGTCCTAGTCTAACTTAACCACTGTTTGTAACAAGTCTGTTTTGTGTTTAAAAAGTTCCATTTGATTTAGCATTGCTAAACAAATATACTGTAAGTGTTCTGGACAGTTGTCAAGAAATGAAGTTCTGTATATATGTTCATTGTTAAACCTATTCATGTTTCTTCCTTCGTATGTAGTTAACTCTCAGTAAAGTTGATAAAAAGGTAATTAGAACATACTAAACTTACTTGAAGTCTACTTTCCAGCCTCTCTCTTATTTATGAAATAGACCCAATAACCTTATTAGCCACTTGGTGAGTTCCTTATCTCACACGTCCTGAACCACATTGCCTGTCAGTCCCACTGCCTCACCCTCACGCAATCCATTTTCGAACTCTTTCTCGGTCTTCTAGTCTCAGCCCAAATTCTCTCATCAGTCTTTTCTTATCCTTGGACTATGTAATTAGACTGGTAGATCTGCAATTATTTCTGTACATTGATTAATGACAGCTGAATAGATATCCTACTATATATCTCATGTAGGACTAGCCATTCTATTGAATCTATGAATTGTATTTCACTCACTTGAGGTGTAATCTTTTCTTTACTAAGCAAAGCCAACTTTTTTCTTAATGAATCTTAAATACAAGAAGTTAAGTGATTTTGTAAGTGATTTTGAATTCACATCCACAACCAGAACCCATGTAATGATGACATTCTTACAGTTGGTCATCACGATGAGGGAGAGGAAGAAGCAGGATGGATCGAGGGAGTGGCCATTCTTATATCTGTGGCAGTAGTTGTTTTTGTCACAGCCTTTAATGACTACACAAAAGAAAAACAGTTTCGAGGTCTACAAAGCCGCATTGAGGGCGAGCACAAATTCTCTGTTATTCGAGGAGGAGAAGTCCATGATATTGGAGTGGGAGATATTGTCGTTGGTGATATTTGCCAAGTAAGTACTATGCAGAATACATTCTCATCTCCTTTCATATAGTATATATGCAAATAAATTTTGCTCTTAGATTTGTGTTTAAGTGTCAACATGAATACATGAATTATAGAGTAATTTTTCTATATATTTGATAGTGTTTTGATAATGAATCACTTTTTCTCCCTTTCAGATCAAATATGGGTGACTTGTTACCTACAGATGGAATCTTGATACAAAGCAATGACCTAAAGATTGATGAGTCCTCGCTAACTGGAGAGTCAGACCATGTAAAGAAGGGGGCTGACACAGATCCTATGGTGCTCTCAGGTGTGGTTTGGGCTTTTTGTAATGCAAAATGTTTGTGCTAAACCTTTTTGAGATATTACTAAGCACTGTACTATAGATTGTCTCAGCACTTCCTGACACTGGATTGGTTTTATGTAATTGCACTTTTCATTTAGATAATATAATTAGTTATTTTTGAAATGACAATTAGGTTGCTGATTTTTTAGCTAAATTGGATATAGTAGTGAACCAGTCATGTGGTACAATCTCTCTCAAGAAGACTAGTAATACTTCTCCAACCATGATTTCCTGAAGTGAAATGAAAAGGAGCACTTTATATTATTCACAGGGACACATGTAATGGAGGGCAGTGGAAAAATGCTGGTGACTGCAGTAGGTGTAAATTCTCAAGCTGGCATTATCTTTACACTTTTGGGTGCTGCTGCAGATGAAGAAGAAGTTGAAGCTAAGAAGAGGAAAAAAGGTAGTGCTTTCATTATTGTTTTATGAACTTTAGCTCTGGAAAGTATTAGGACCAAATTTTTAGGTTACTGCATTATATTGCTATGAAAAAGTCAGTAAAAATACTATCTAGATCAGTGCTACTCAAAGTGTAAATGCACAAGCCACTGACTGCTGACCCATGATGAGTTTACAGAAAAGAAAGAAGTGGTAGTATAATTAAAATTTAAGATCAAAGAATGTGTCAGCTTTTATTTTATTCATTAAAAATTATCTGGATTGTTCAGATAATATTTTCTAGACTGTATGAATATTACAAAGTAATAGGTGGTGCCTTGAACATTAAGTCAGTCTGCCACATTCAATACTTAGAGTGCAACTGATCTAGGCTACTGACATTGTATGCCATCTTTATTGTATTATATATTTGAAGCCAGTGATTTCGCAGGTTGGATTGGTGTAGAAAGGTAAAATATGATAAAGTATTTGTTTTTATTATTATGTTGCTCCCATTTTTGTTCCCTTTTCACACTTACCAATAAAAAGTGATTGTTGTCAGATATTCAGGGACTCATCATTTGATAATTTTAGTGGATAGTGGTAATAGTAAATTTTTAATGAGTAGCATTATTGAATGCAAAATTTATAGAAAAGGAATATTTTGGGAAAAGCTTTTGTAGGCCATTTTTTTTTTTTTTTTTTTTTTTTTTTTTAGAAAAGATTGACAATAAAGGACCATCATGTAATATAAACTGTGACTTTTTGGAATTTATGATAGAGGTAGGCTATGATCATGATTGAATGTTTTGATGTTTCATCATTGATGTTGGGTGTAAGATTAGGGAATCAGTGAAGGTCTTACGATTATATGAAATAGTATTATGAATGCTGAGGAAGGATTTGAATCTCAGAAGTTTTGTGCAGTATATGACAGATAGAATACATGTCATGGAGTATTTAGTTAATGAAACAGCATTTAAGACCATTTATACATGATAGTATTTATATTTTATGGTGGAGTGCTATTTTGGGAGATTTTTTCAGACAGCCAAGCAAAGGAAAAGGCTGCTTTTCATTATACTGATAGTAGACATTAGCAGATTTCCATTAAGTGTATATTTTCATGTGTTTTTACAATGCAAAATTTTGAATGCTTGGAAGAAAGAATATTTTTGGCAAAATTATAATTAACTTTCTATCACAGATGATTATCAAATGTCAGTTGAATAGTATATTTATAGATGATTATCTCTTTCAACTATGTAGATGATGGTGTTAAGTATTATGACCAAGATAATTTTTATTATTGGTATTATTATTATTATTATTAATATTATCATTATTATTATCATTATCATTATTACTATCTTCTTCTTAATGATTGATAATCATCATTATTATATTATTATTATTATTATTATTATTATTATTATTATTATTAATATTATTATTATTATTATCATCATCATCATTATTATGCTTATTATCATTATTGTTATTTTAGCATTATTGTTGTTTTGTTATGATTATTATGTTTTTTATTATTATTATTATAATGTTTATAATTTTTATTATTTTTTATTATTATTGTGATAATGTTTTTAATAATTATTATTATCATTACTATTAATGTTACTATTTTAGTTATTACTGGTATAGTTCCTACTACTACTGCTACTGTTTCTATTTATTTTGTTTTATGTTATTATTATTGTCATTGTTATTATTGTTATTGCAATTATTATTATTATTATTATTATTATTATATTATTTTATTATATATTATTAATATTATATTGTTATTATTATTATTATTATTATTATTATTATTATTATTATTATTATTATTATTATTATTATAGATATCAATGTTCATATTATTACCATTATCATTGTTTTTGTTACTGTTATTGCAGTTATTATTATTATTATCATTATTATTATTATTATTATATTATTAGTAGTAGTAAATTAGTATTATTAGTATTATTATTGTCATCTTCATTCTTGTTGTCATCATCATTGTCATTATCACTATTTTCCTCATTATTGGTTTTGCTATTGTTACCATCATCATCAATATTATTGTTATTGATTTTATTATGATTATTATTATTACTAATATATTGTTATTGTTGTTGTTTTTATTTCATCATTATTATATTATCATTATTATTATTATTTATATATTATTACTGATATTGTTAGTACTACCTCTATCTATGTTTTATTCTGCTCTCTCTGATAACTTCATTGAAAGAGAAACTCACTTCAGAGTTGCATGGTGCACTTTGATAGGTATATACCATAGTTTTGTTGTCTGTTAGTAAAGGCAGCAAATACTTAGACAGGCATGGTAGTCTCTTAATGAAATAGAAATGTTGAAACTTGAACTTGGCTGTAAGATAGCACTTAATGAATGCAAATGAGAAATCACTAGAAAATCATCAGAAAGAAAGAATATATAGAGATGAACAAGATTTAAATTTTTCACTGACTGCCTTGATTATGCCTTTGTTGTAGGTCAATAGTGAAAAATATAATTTGATTTATAGCGAGACACTGCACTCTAGAACTTTCATTGTTTTTTAATTTATTTATTTATATTTTTTCATTGAAGTGAGGAGACTGCTTCCACTCACAAGAATGTTCTAGTTGCAGTTTGTAGTGATGCAAAGGAAACACAGTAGATATCATCTCTTTATTGAATTCATTAAGGAGCAGAATTGCTTTGTCGTTGTTTGGTTGTTTATTTATTGTTTGATTTTTTAATGACTGATGATTAAATATTTACCATCTCATAATCTCTCTATTTTGAAGTTTAGGAAAGGTTAAAAACAGAAGGATCTTTGATGGATTGCCATTCATCCAGTTATTTGATAGCTTCAGTAAAATCAAACTTTATTGATAATATCCTGATTGAATTTTCAATTATATGAAAGATTACGCAGGTTTTATTGTCTGCATATTTGCCAGAGGCATTTGGTATCAGATGAGTATTCATCTATTTAATTGTGAGATCCTTCTGCTTATAATGTCTTAACCTTTGCTTAAATGTCCTCCTGTACTGAAATACATTGGCCCTTGCTAAGTCACAGATTTGGTATAGCTTGTACACATGTAGCCCTCTAACCAGGACTCTTAAATGATTTTAGTATTTTCCTTACCTCTGCCACATAAAGCTTATGGATTTTGATTTGTGTATCCTATCTAGTACTAATATTTTTTTTGTTTTTGATATCTTTTTTTGCATGTAACCCCTGAACCAACCAACCAACCAACCACTACCGTTGTTGCCTTCCGAATCCATCATCATCAATCACCGCTTGTGCCCCCAAAAAACAGAGGCCAAAAAGCAGCGGAAAAAGCAGAAGAAGGGCGACTCAGGAGAAGAGTTGATTGTCGCCAATCCTAGTATGGCTAACTGGCTTTTAGTAGTTCTCATCCTCCTGTTACCCCATCTTTGAATTCTTTTCAGGAGTCTCTCTCTTTTTTCTCTCTTTGTTTCTTTGGTACACTTTTTCCTTTTGTCTTTTTTATGTCCTTTTTTTTTTTTCTTTGAGTGTCTCATCTATATTGACTGAACTTGATTGATTGATTGATTGTTATAAGTTTGATGTTAAGGATTTGGACAATGGTATTCATGTCATCTCTTTTTTTTCTAGCTCTGTCTCTTGTCGTCCTGGCCCTTTCACTCTTTTTCTCTCTCCCACTCTCTCCTTCTCACTTTCACTCTCTCTTTCTGTCTTACTTTTTTTTTCTTACAATGTGTCTTTGCCAAGACAGTGTTTTAGTCCAGCACTGTAGGTTATTTAATATATTTGTCTTTTTTGTGCAAATTGTCTCTGTGCTGCTGCAGGATCTTTGGTGTACTAGTCTGTGCTCCATGTTCTTATTTGGCTTCCCTTGAATTCATTACTTTCATTGGTTATTTTTGAAGTATCTGTGCCTTTATTTAGTTTGAATTTTATATTGATATCTAAAATCAGCCCCCTTTCCAGTAATAACAGAAATGATCTTAAGATATATATTTTATATGATTCATGCATGTTTGTTTTGATTATCTTCAAAGATCTCATTAATTAATTAAATTCCCACTTTACCCCTAAACCTCTCTGGTTATTTATTTTGTCTGCTTTGCCTGGGAATGAAGTAAACATTGCATTGAGTGGGATTGACAGAGTGTATGGCACTTCTTACAGGCAAGCAAGGAGAGGGTGAGGCTGGAGCCGTGACGGGTAATTCTCACCACGCAACAGCAAACTCTGCCAACGCTGACGGTGATGTGAGAAACAACAAACATTCAAAGGAAGAGGAAGAAGGAGAAGAAGGTGGAGCCTCTGGGGGTGGAGGACATGAGAAGTCTGTCCTGCAGGCCAAGCTGACAAAGTTGGCCATTCAGATAGGTTATGCTGGTAAGGCATACAGATTCAAATACCTTGTTTGTGTTTATCTCATTAGATTAGGAATTAGAGTAATAAACTGAGTACTTTCAGAGATTCAGATTTTTTTTTTTTCATTCTTTCTTTTTTTTACTTCTGTACATAGTATTATATATTTAAGAAAAGAATTTTGAAAATAGCATAATCCTGTTCTATAATAAAACCCAATAACTCTATTTCTGTTGCAGGTTCATTCATCGCTGTGCTCACTGTTGTGATTCTAATAGTCCGTTTCTGCGTACAAAACCTTTGTTTTGGAAGGCAAACCATGGGACACATTTTATGCAAACCATTTTGTCAAGTTCTTCATCATTGGTGTAACTGGTGCCTAGGTGTCTTCCCCTTGCTGTTACACTGTCTTTGGCTTACTCTGTAAAGGTTGGTATAACTTTGTGAGGTGTTGGTACTGTAGGGACATTAGCCATTAGAACATGTGTTTGAAGGAGGTGAATATCAGGATATGTAACTTTATTGTTCTATTTCACTGTA